CCCACGAACCCATAAAAATTAGAAAAATAATGGACAGATCAGTGTAGTAGTTGAGAAAATACAGAAACATGTTGAAAATATCAACGCCAGAAGAAAATACCTAAAAAGGAGATGGGAGACTAATACACCAGAAGCAAATTAAACGCCAAATCCAAGAAGCATAAGATTTTATTTCAGTCAGAATCAAGCGGGGGTATTTTAGACAACGAAATCGAAAATAAGCAAATACCTAAGAGAGACGGGGGATTGATATTCCTGGGAAAAGAGGAAAGAAATACCACTGTTGGTATTCATTATTTCCTTGCACTTGGGAATGAAGCTCATCCAAACATGGGTATCGTTACCCGAAAAAAAACATTCCTCCTAGGAATGAAATATGACGTGAACCAAACGGGGTCTTAGAGAATCCGAGAAATGCCAAGACGAGCATGATGCTGGCAAGAATGATAAGAGCAGTGTTCCTGCAATAAAAAGAAGGGTAAAGTATAGTAATGGTCACTGAACATTTCTGAAGCTTGCATTTAGGTCCCCTAACTTTTAAAACTTGCAATACAGTCCCCTAACATTTATTCCGTTTGCAATATGGTTCCCCAACTTAAATCACTATTAGAAAATTAGGGTAAATTATATAAACGGTCATTGAACTTTTCAGGCACTTGAATTTAGGTCCCCAACTTTTAAAACTTGCAAAACAGTCCCCCAATAATTTTATTTTCTTATTAAATATAGATGTATAGAAAATATAAATGATTCAATTTATATTTAAATGTATGAATCATTTATATTTTTGATATATTTTATTTTTCTTGTATAAACTAGTATTTAAAATATGTTTATATTTTAATCAAAATATTTCAATATACGAATAAAAATATATTTATATAAATGTATATTTATATTTAGATGTATAAATAAATAATTAGGTGGTGACATGTGTCACCAATGACACGTGTCATGATCATGTGCTAACACATGTCAGATCCTAATTAAATGATTAATTTATTAAATTCTATTTAATTTAGGACCAAATTGATTATATAAATAATAAAGACTGAATGCATAATAATGTCAATTCCTTTTAACTGCCACATCATCATTTTTATCAATTGGTAATGACTAGTGGCTTAGTTGAAACAGTTAAATAATTATGTTGTATGATTGATAAATTTAAAAGATCGATGACAAAAGTAAAAAGGGCTAGATAGTTAAGTTGTCAACCTAGTAGTTTACACTTTTATTTATACGTCAAAATAACATTTTATAAATTTAAAATTCGAATTATTTTCAACCTCTTCTATATCCTAACTACTTTTTTTAATTAAAAAATTTCTTCAACAGATAAGAATTATACTATTATATTTATATAAAAAATACGTATCACATGAAATAAGATGAAATTAAATAATAATAAATCTGACATAATTGAATTGAATTGAATTATTTTAGAATTTAGGGTTTAGAATGAAATTGAATTACTTTGGAAATTGGGGTTTAGAATGAAATTGAGTACTGTTTTGCAAGTTTTAAAAGTTGCGGGACCTAAATTCAAGTGTTTGAAAAGTTCAATAACCTTTTATATAATTTACCCTAATTTCTAACGGTGGTTTAAGTTGGGGGACCATATTGCAAACGGAATAAATGTTAGGGGACTGTATTGCAAGTTTTAAAAGTTGAGGGACCTAAATGCAAGCTTCAGAAATGTTCAGTGATCATTACTATACTTTACCCTAAAAAGAAATAGAAATAAAGCTATTAATATATCGTATTTCTCCCGTCTAAATTGCATAGAAAACAAAATATCACGTACGGACACGTGATTTTATATTGATAAACAAATTTATAAAATTTTAGTAGGAAAAAGTTAGATTATTAATAAAAAATATGATGATAAATCGAAAATTCCAGCGATGATGTAATTAACATACACATGTTGAAGAAACTCGTTGATTTCATTCGTGATGTCTTCGGCTTTGACACGAGGAAGCGTTCCAATCGAGTCGATCATCTTGTTGGCATTATCGGTCTCTTGTTTAAGATCATCAGGCACATACTTTTTGTTCAGAACAATATTCTTGGCTGATATAAGTAAATTCTGTATGCGTATAAGACTTTCGTAAATGCTTATTCCTTTATTCACCAGGTAGTCTGTAAAACTTTTAACACTGTCCACGAATCTTTTCTCTCCACTGAACATCACAGAACTCCCAACACTGAAAACCCAGATATATATCACGCATTAACAGCAGATTCTATTCAGATTAACGTAGATGACAGCATGAAATTCTACTTACATTGCAGTTATTGAGAAGACGATGAGACAGACGAGGGAGATTGCATAAACATATTGAGAATAGCATAGGGTTTCTTGCGACGGCAGAAGCAGAAACAGAAGCAAGCAGAAAGAAGAAATATACCCACCACCACGAACCAAATTACAGCCACCACCACGAATGGAACTGCACTGAAACCGACTGCATACACAAATTATATACTTCATTATATCAACCCTAAATGAACATCATCAATAGGGTTTTAGAAATCTTACTGCAAAGTAATGTTTGTTAGTTATATTCCATCCTCCTGTATACATACGGAAGTTATCTGTAGGATCAGGCCTCTTTGTCTGATTCTCAGCTAAAATCATGGAATAATTCTTCTGTTTAGTTTCTTCCATTTTTCGCTTCACCAATCTCAGAACTCCTGCATGTAAAAAGAAGGAAGCGTTTCTTTTACACTAACAATTTTTTCCAGTTTCTTGAGAAAAAAGAAATCTATTTGTTACCGTCGGGTTGCAGATCAGCGGTGTCGTTTTGTCGAACATGAGAAAGTGAAAAGAAAGTTGATAAAATAAGAAACAAAGGTGGGACGATAAAGAAAGGATTCTGAAGGTATTTAGGCCTAAACGTCATCATTTTCTGCAATTTTTGTTTCCCTCTGTTGTTTAATCTAACTGGATGGATCTTTCCTATGAAGAAACGAAGAAGGGACTGTGCAATGCATTTAATTTAACATGAAGTTTAACTGAGTTGAATGCATGTGTCCTTGAAGAGCGTATTGTTGTCTGTAAACACGTATTTACTATTTCTGAATATCTAAATTTGTCTGTAAATTGTTATTATCCGTTTGACCAAACCACCATGTGGGGAAATTTTTTTTCCCAAATAATAATGTATTAAAAAAGTTTTAACATTTTTGTTTGATTATTATTTAGGCTGCAATGACAATTATTTCTTGTTTCAAAATTGTAGGTCAAAGCAGCTTCACACATCAACCTATCAATATCACTTGTTATACCCCATCCGATTCTCCTCCGCAAGCAAGACAAATCTCCGCTTCACACATCAAGACCCTTGAAAAGAACTTCTCCGTAACTAAAACCTGGATGAACATATCCGGACATAGGATTTTCGGAGCTTGAAATATCTCGGGGAAGACGAGATCCTTTGATATGATATCTGATAGATCTCACGAGATCTGTCAGAGCCAAATCGATCGACAGCTGACCACATCTATTAGGTCCATATATCTTGTCAGCCTATGAATAACTATCATGTCTCTATGTTTTATACTAATACTAAGAGTCGCTATAAATCTTCTGAACCAAGATTAAGATCAAGACCGAGAGAAGGGATTGAAACCTTCTTCTTCTTCATTCATCTTTCCTCTACCTCCTGACAGAAACAAATAATATTGAGATTGACAAACAATCGTTTAATCATCGATTGCGACTTTCCACCCAAACTATAAGAGGTGAACTATCAATGACTATCATAATCCACTTGTTCTTATCAACAACTAATACGGTGAACATGGAATACCTCCTACAATAAAAGAATCACTTGAAATGCACCGCAAAGGCAAAATAACCAATATCACCTCACTTTCTTACGAAAATCTCACCCCAATGTATTTTATTGTTTCATACCGATGCCTACAAAAAGGAGTTGTAGAGCTTGCAAGCTGGTTAAAGACCCCTCGTCAAATAAAGGGGAAGACATGACACTCTGCTTATCAGGATTACCCTTCTTAGAAGCGTTGAAAATGAGCGAGGCTATTTTGGGCCTTACTTTTACGAAGCATATATATCCCCTTCACCTGCCCCCCCAAAGCAACTGCAACCAAAATAGCGGCCCGAACATATGAACGGGGAAGCTGGCTATCACCTTCATTAAGCATCACTGTCACCGCGTGCGAGAGAGATTTCTACAGAGAAGAGTTGGATGTTTCTATTGGCAGTGTCAAGTTCAAGTTTCGGATAAGTTGACTTAAAACCATAAATTGAATTCAAATTAGGCTTTATGAAAAAACTTGAATTTTCTTCTACCTTACTAGAACAAGAGGATTCGATGGAAGTTGTTCATCAGCGAGGGAAGGCCAAAATCTCCGATGGTTCAGAAACCGTGGCAAAATCAAATAACTAATTCATTTGAGGTGAATGTAATCACTTTTGTTGTGTTTGTTAGGTTAGATTGGTCATTACCATGTATGTTAGGTTAGATGGTTCAGAAACCGTGGCAAAATCAAATAATGCACATATATGATATTTGCTGATCACCTAGAACACAAAGGATAGCAACATTTGTTATTGGTAAAATTGATAAGTTATATGATTTTATTGCTTATGAAATATATTGAGATTATTGGTATATTTATTTATGTTCGAGATGTAATATGAAAAAAGAGAGCCTATGAAGCTACATGATGATTCTAGAGACATTGGTAAGTACTGTCGAGATTAAAATACAATTAGTATATCATAGAGTTTATACAAATATTATAAGACTTCGATCTTTTCAGTGACATAGAGACGATGATTTGGTTGGACTTGCGTCGAGAATAAGAATTATCAATTCATTTGTGTTTCGGTTTATTCTTTTCAATCACTTAGATCAATGGTTACTTCAATATTATATTTTAAAGAAATCTATGCGGTAACGTATTTCTCAAATTCCTTTATTAAGTAAAAAGGAACCGAACAAAGTAACTGTTCCATAGCATTAATGGCGACGATCTTTATGCTATTGAACGCCGGCATTAAGGCTTCATCTTCACAACTCCAACACCACCAAATTCAATCCCCAAAGCTTCAAAATCAACAAGTTTTTATTTCCCCCCCCCCCCCAATGGCTTCAATATCGTCCACATCGGCTTCACATTTCGATGAGCTTCGATGGCTTATCAACATCCGTCGTTCCTTGGCTGAAGAACTTGAAGAAGAAGAAGAAATCGAAGTCCCCGTTTCCATTTTCAACGTCCCCAAAGCCCTGATGCTAACTGATCCTGAATCTTACGTCCCTCAATTGGTTGCTCTCGGTCCTTACCATTATTGGCGCCCCGAGCTCCATGAGATGGAAACCTACAAACTCGCGGCAGCCAAAAGAACCCAGAAACACCTCCAGTGCCTTCAGTTCCATACTCTTGTTGAAAACCTGATGAGATTTGAACCCCGGATTCGGGCGTGTTATCATAAGTATCTGCATTTCGACGGTGAAACTTTAGCTTGGATGATGGCCATTGATGCTTCGTTCTTGCTGGAGTTCCTACAAATCTATGGTATCCGACAAGGGAAGAAGACACTATCACGTATGTCGGCTCACAATTCGATTCTGAGAGATGTTGTGATGCTTGAGAATCAGATACAACTGTTCATTCTTCGAAAAGTGCTTGAAATCCAGAATTCGTCGTTGGAATCGGCTGATGAATTGTTGGTTTCAATGTTGAATGGATTATCTAAAGAGCTCTCCCCTCTCAGGACGATGGACCACTCGGTGAAGATTGATGTCTCAACGTGTGCTCATGTTTTGAACTTCCTTCACGACACGATCGTCCCCAAGCTTGATGAAGAACAATGTGAAACAAGCGAACCAGAAGACAATAAAACGAGTGATTCCCAAGTTCCGAAACAACTGCTCAGTGAGTCATGGAATCTGGTTTCTAGGATGAAGAGAAATTCATTCAGAATCATCAAAGCTTTGCTGCATTCGAGACCAGCTAGAGTCTTGCTTAAGTTACCGTTGAAAATCGTCTCTAATCTCCCTGGAATTTTAATCCTGAAGCAACTGATTAAACATGTGTTCTTCCCACAAGACAACGAAGAACGAGAAGCGAAACCGGACCACGGTTCAGGCCGGAACAAGCCACCTCCGGCGGAGGAGATCGCCATTCCATCCGTCGAGGACCTATTAAAATCAGGAGTCCGTTTCATCCCCACCAATGGGAACATATCCAAAATTACATTTGACCCCAACACTGTCACATTCCATCTCCCAACCGTCACATTAGACATCAACACAAAGGTTGTCTTAAGGAACTTGGTCGCATACGAAGCGTCGAAAGCATCGGGGCCGTTGGTTTTCACACGATACACCGAACTAATGAACGGGATCATCGATACCGAGCAAGATGTGAAGCTACTGAGCGAGAAGGGGATAATATTGAACCATCTGAAGAGTGATGAAGAGGCTGCAGAGTTGTGGAACGGGATGAGTAAATCCATCAGATTGACCAAAGTTGCCTTCTTGGATAAAGTGATCGAAGATGTTAACAAGTATCATAATTACAGATGGAATGTTAAAGCCAGGAAATTCTTCAAACAATACGTATATGGTTCATGGCAGTTGTTAACATTGTTAGCTGCAATTATGATTCTGATTTTGTTGACATTCCAGACCTTTTGCTCCGTTTATAGCTGCTCTCGAGTATTACGAATTCAAGCCTAGGATTGAATTCATTTTCCTATACCCCTATAAAACAATATTTTTTTCTCAAGGCCAAGTAACTTTATTACATTTACCAAATAATCACCGATGCGACTAGGGTTGTAAATGAGCATAACGTTTATTAAACTCGTCGTATAATATTTGTTTATTAAACTAAATAAAAGGTAAAAAGAAAGTGTTGAATTTAGAGGGAAAACCAGTGAATCTATACAGCATGTTTGTAAACGAATGCTAATCACCTCCTTTATACAGTTCCCTATTTCACCAACCGAGCGAACTTCTCCCCTAAACTGCCTGTGATTTCGTTCTTCCCAAATACAATACAAAAACTGTCCAAGCAAGCTTAAGGATACAAACAATGGACTTTCCTTTCAACTATCCACCGCCCAACACATAGTAGCTTCCCATCCAAACTACCCATGCTGCAGTCCACAACGTTGCAGTACACTACCCCAAACCTTGTAAGAGTAAGAACATAAAAAGATGGTTTTTTTGTCTCAACAGTAATTCCACACAGGATACACATTCCATCCGTATTAACACCCATGCGTGCAAGCCTATCTTTAGTTGGTAGTTTATCCAAAATTCCCATCCCGGCAATAATCGAGTATTTGAGCACATGTTGTAACATCCCGAAATTCAGGGTAAGTGACTAAATTGCAAATTTTGAAAATTATGTGCTTGATTTTGAAATAAATTAAAAGTTCATGGATTTAGTAGTAAAGTTGGAAAATAACAAGGGTGTTATGGTCTTTTCTAAGAGAAGATTTTTATTTTCCCTTATTAAGGAAACCACGTGGGAAAGGAGAGAATTATCCAGAGTCTTCTTCTCCAGCTTCTTCTTCTCCCCGTAAGCCTCATTTAAAGGTGAGTTTAATTTCAGCTGTTTAATTCTTGGATTTATAAGTTGATTTTGATTCTTGGAGTATCATATAAGCTTAAGGAAAGCTTATATAAGCTTTAAACATCAAGAATAGAGAATTAGAAAGGAAATGATATGAAGGGTGTAGAAATGAAATTTTGTTATAGAAAGGTTTTTGAAGTTCTAAAGATGGATTTGACTTGTCAAGGGTATAATTAAGAAGCTAGAAGCAATAGAATTGAATTTGGAACATGTTGAAAATTTAATGGAATTCTTGAATTACATATGGAAAATAGGATTTTGATGTTAAAGAGGTGATTAATGAATAGGAATGAGTTTGAATATGAGTATGTAAGTTAAAAATAAGAAAGGGGATGATATATGAAGTATTAAGCTGAAAAGAGTGGATTTTCGGGCATAAAAGAGGATTATGGGCAGAGTGCATCGATGCACATTCATAGTGCATCGATGCATCAAGGTTAAAACCCAGAAATTGTTTGAAGGTGTATCGATGCATTGGTAATGCATCGATACACTCTTTTAAAATAGAAACATCGAATGCAATTAGTGCATCGATGCATAAGTCATGCATCGATGCATCCCTATAATAATACAACATCGAATGCATTTTATGCACCGATGCATCAGTAGTGCATCGATGCATACCTTCATTAAAAGATGAAATTGGCTTTTCTCTGAGCCTAAGGAGTGATAGTTTCGAATATATCAATCAGTATACTGATAAGTATTAATGTATTATTATGTAGATATAGAATGAAAGCTTGTTCCGGAACAAACTAAGGATTAGGATTGATTCAAAACAACGAGGCCCAGGTGAGTGCAATTTAAATTGTACTTATGTACCAAATAAACATTGGCTTGCGATGAGCCAGTGATGGAGTCACTATGGTAAGAAGGGACTCCTAAAAATGTTATTTGAATTGTGATTCCTATGTTTGCATGAGTGCATGAAAATGGCTACATATGTTATATGCATTGCATATGTTACATGAATTGAATGAATATATGTTAGTGTGATAAGCTTTGTGAACTGGTTTAAATAGTGTATGTGATTATATAAGTTTATAATATAAATATGTGATATAAGACATAAGTAAAGAACTATATGATATTAGATAAGATAAACATATGCTATTATAATTGACTATAGGATCGCGAACTATGTAAAAATAGCAAGGACTTATGTGATAGCAAGAGAAAATGATATAAAATAGATGATATAGATATAAATGATAAGTTAAACGACATAGACATATGTGATTATATGAAAAAGAATATAAGTTATGTGATTATGAACATGTGGATATAGGTCTAGTTGAGGATATAATAACAAGATATAAATTACTCGAGTTAAATATATGAGAATTAGTATAACCAACTTATGAGATGAAATGAAAAGTGAGACAAGTTAAATAACATTGACCTATAGGACAATATGAAAATAATATATAAATTAGGAGACATTGACAGAAGTGATTATATGAACATGTAAGATAAGCTATATGGGAAGAGTTATGGGCTTAAATGAACATATAATATATGAGTCATATAGTAAAGATCTATGAAGCTATAGGAAGATGTTATGGGAGTTATGTGATGATAAGTTATAAGAATATATAGGTAACAAGTTATGTGAAATTGAATTAAGTAAATATATGAAACTAGGATATAAATAATGTGAGATAAGTTATAGGGCATTGATATACGAACTATATGAAAGTATGTACATGAATATATGTATAAGTTTATATGTTATTCCATGTGATATATGATGTATATATGAACATATGTGAATAAGATATGACATGTGTGTTTACATGAAAAATGAGAAATGATATAATCCATATGAAATGATCTACGTGATTACATGCACTTGAGATAAAGGTTATATGATATGAGATGTATGTTCACACATACATATGGTATGTGACAGAAGAAAAGGAACAAGTGATATGAAACATAAGAATAATGCCCATAGTATATGATATGAGAGCTATAGGTATAGTTGGCATGCCAAGAGTCGAGGGTTCTACGTGGTCCTTCGGGACATGTATGTAATTATGTGGAACCTATATGTAGTACTTAGGTACACTTATTGGAGCCATTGTATTATGTATGTGGTTCTTAAGGAGTAGTCCTTCGGGACATAGTGGTCCTACGGGACATATACAGTGGTCCTACGGGACATATACAGTGGTCCTTCGGGACATAGTGGTCCTACGGGACGAATACTGAACTAAGGTTCGGTGCCCCATGAGGGAATTGATACGAGCTGTGGTGACAGCATTAGTGCACAACCTCAATGTACTCACATACCTCTATTCTCAATAATATACGTGGGCAATTGAAATACAAACTTTAAAGTGAAAGTGGTACAAGAAGGTAAGTTTCGTATGTGCATGATATGATTATATATGTTATCGTGTAATAGATACATGCATATTGAAATGTCATGATCAAATGTTTAGAATACATATTCATCGGATGAAATGGGTATTGATTGGAAAAATGTATGATATTATATGATAGATATGTTAATGATAATGATAGTATTTGTACAGGTATGTGTTTTGTTATATGAAATGTTCAATGGTTTTTATTATATGTTTATATGCCTCACTAAGTCAACGACTTAGCGTGTGATTGTTTCACACGTAGGTTTCGAGAAGAGTAAAGAGCAATATGGAGCAGGACAGGTCAGTTACTTCTTACCGAAGATCAGATCAGAAAAGATGTTTTGAATTAGATGTATTTTGTACATTGAAAATGGTTGGCATGTAAATAAATGTCTGAATTGTATATTCACTGAACGGTTTTGCAAAAACATTTAAGCTCTGAATAGTTCTGGAAATCTTTTGAATAAGCTATATGTATAAAAGTTTTAAATTACTCACTATTTTATACAAGTAAATGTTTTGAAAAAGTCAATGTGACACCTCAGACTCGAATCCAGGTCGGGTACACGTGGGGGTGTTACACATGTAGTGGGAACCAAATGAGCCTATGCCACTGCACTCTAGCCCTCTTTTCCCAATTTGTCCCAAACCCATCTGCTAGTAACCACCGACCAGTTAACACCATTCTCGAATAGATCTTTAGCCTCATTCCAAAAGTTCAAAAGTTACCTTAAGGTCCAGCTATAATGAGGCTTACAAACCACTCGTCAATAATCCTCACCCTTAAAAGGAGTAATACTCCTTTACCTGAGTTACCCAAAGAGATCCCTTCCCTGCCAGTATACTTTTGATAAGAAGGAAACTGCAAGTTCTTGACACCCAACTCCCCCTCAGTTTTCAATGAGCAAATTTGCTGCCAATTAATACGAGCTCCCTGCTCAGGGAAATCACTCCCTTTCCAAAACAATCGCATACACATTTGCTCGATCTTTTTGATCACCACCTTAAGTAGAATAATCTGTCTGCACCAGTAATTAGATACACTAAACAGAACAGCTTTGATAAGCTGCAACCGACCACCATAACTGAACACCTTCCTCGACCAAGTTCCAAACTTACCCTGAATCTTGTCCAACAAAGGGAAGCAATCCTTCTTGGCAAACTTCCTCGTAACTAAAGGTATACCAAGATACCTAACTGACAGCCTCCCCCACTTAAAACCAGTCACAATTTGCATTTCAGTGAGTCTACTCTCCTCAAGACCACAAGCAAAAAACTCAATTTTATTAGCATTAAGCTTCAACCCATACATCTCATAGTGTTCCAGCACACTAAACACCCCCACAATCGAATCAATAGAGCCATCATAAAAAATGAACAAATTATCTGCAAAGCGCAAACGAATGAGAGAGATTCTCCTGCACTTAGGGTGATACTAAAAAATCTCATTCTGAGCAGCAGCAACATTCAATAAACAAGATAGAACATTCACCACTAAGATAAAGAGATAAGGGGACAAGGGGTCCCCTTACCTCACCCCCTAGTACCCTTGAAAAACCCCCACCAGAGTGCCATTAAAAGAAACTGAAAATATGGAGGAAGTGACACACTCCTTGATCCACTCTCTAAATATCTCAGGTAATTCAATAGCTTCAAGAACACTCATCAGGAATTGTCAATCAATTGAGTCAAATGCATTTTGCAAGTCAATTTTAGTAGTG